CGGGCACGGGAGCGGTCGCTGCGCTTCTCGCTTCGGGTCCCCAGGCCCGTCCCCTGCTTACCTGTGCCCTTTGGGAAGGAAGGGCTGCTCCTTCTGGGTCCCCGTGTGCAGCCGGTGGCTCCCGAGGGTTCGGTACCTCGGGAACCCTTGAGATTTTCGCGAACGCACTGCATCGATTGGTTTTTTAAATGAATACAGGATCTAATTCTTATCTTGACTGACCAGGTGGTGCATTTGAGGGTTTATCGCTGCTGATAACCAGCAAGATTTGGTATATTAGAAACGGTAGGGTAGGAAGAGGCCTTTAACGATCATTTCTTCCAGCCCCCTGCAGTGAGCAGGGACACATCCGTGTGTGTCCATTTTCTTTCTCATAATTTTTTTTGAGTAATTGCCCGTATTTGTCATGTATCCCAGAAGAGCTGTACGTGTCTGAACGAGAGGGCAATGACTCCACTGGTGATGGAACACAAAAGAAACCATTCAAGACCGTGTTGAAGGTGAGTGTGGAAAACACTTGTGCTTTGTTTGGCAGTGTGTTCTGGGGCAAGTGATGGCCCTTGTATTTTTAAATGTTTCATACCTGTTTTTGCAACCTGAGCAGGAGCAAGGTGCCTGCTCAGGCCCTATAAGGATGATTTTGGTTCATTTTGGTTATTTTTCCCCCTTTTTAGGCATTGATGACAGCAGGAAAAGAGCCATTTCCTACAATTTATGTGGATTCCCAAAAAGAAAATGAGGTGCTGTGGCATTGAAGGGTTTCCTAGTGGGAATTATTTACTGTATCTTGGTGTGAAGGGACACAGTGTAATCTGCTGTCTCTTGCTCTCTCCTTGAATTCTTTAGAGATGGGCCATCATTTCCAAATCACAGATGAAGAATGTCAAAAAGCTATGGCACAGGGAGCAGATGAAAAATGAAGCTAAGGAGAAGAAGGAGGTAGGTTTCAAAAGGAGCAGAGCACCTTTGTTTTCCAAAAACATTACCGTGTCATCATCATTCCTGCCCCTCCAAAAAAGCAGCACGTTGTTCCTTACTGGTGCTGCTGTTTCACATGTTATTTACAACTGGCCTGGTTACTGCTATTTAATAAGTAATTTTATTCCAACCAGGCAGAAGATCTCCTGAGAAGAGAGAAAAACCTGGAGGAAGCCAAGAAGGTTGTTATCAAGAATGATCCCAGTCTTCCAGAGCCCAAGTGTGTGAGTATGATCCCGTGCCTGGCACGTGGTCTGTGCTAGGGCGTCTGGCCAGCACAGAGATTGTGCTGCTCTGGGGAGGGTCTGGATAAACTGCAGGAGGTGGTGAACCACTCCCCTATTCAATGGCTTTTATTCCCTGCCTCCCAGGTGAAGATCAATGCTCTGGAGGCTTACAGGGGGCAGAGAGTGAAGATTTTTGGCTGGATCCACAGGTTACGGAGGCAAGGTAAAGCACAAGCATGGTTGAGCCCGTGCAGGGAGATAGAACAAGGACAGTGACCTTCAAAATTTGGACACAGAATGAGTCTGACAGCACCTGGCCTCAGATTTTAAACCAGTCAGGTGCCTTCTTTGGTTGATCTCAATGATCACCACAACACTGACAGCTGTCCCTAATGTGTGGACATACACACATTTCTTAGTTCAAATCTTATGGGATTTTCAGTTTGGAGGCTAGTCCTGCAGAATTTCTTTAACTTCTGTGTTTTAAGCTAGTCCTGCCAAATGAGGAACTAGCCAGCAACTGCTCATAGTGAAACCAAATCCCTTCTCTTTTTGACTAGGGAAAAATCTGATGTTCATTGTCTTGAGAGATGGCACAGGGTTTCTTCAGTGTGTCCTTTCTGATGAGCTGGTAAGTTGTGATGATTGTGCTGTGTCATGAATTTAATAGTTCATAAGTTCATACCTCATCTGGTGTTCTCTTATGTAAATGTTATGTTCTCCTCAACCTGCTGACTCAGTTGTGTTACTGTTAAATTGTATGTCACTGCAGTTTGTCCGTGTGAGAGCTGTTCAGAAGTGACTGTGTGCTAATGTGTGACTCCAGTGGATGCTGTAGGAAAGTCAGGAATAAAATCTTGCTCACCTGTGCCTCTGTCTGTCTCGCTGCAGTGCCAGTGCTACAACGGGCTGGTGCTGTCCACGGAGAGCAGCGTGGTGGTGTACGGCACGCTGAACCTCCTGCCCCAGGGCAAGCAGGTACAGCAGCTCCTGGGCTTCTCCTCCTCCCTCACGGCTCCCTGGGGTCCTGAGGGAGGCACAGGCAGAGGTGGGAGGAGTCATTGCATTATTCCAGAGGGAATTAGGGCTAGAGAAAGAACAGAGCTCCCAAAGCTGTGCTGTCCAGTGTGAGACGGGTGAACTGTGGGACTGTTCTGCTTCTGCCTGAAACGATTTTCCACTGATAGACAACTCCTAGACTATAACATGGAGAGCTATGTTAAGTAAATGGCATGGTTTCACTTTCCTTAACAGGTTTATTCAGTG